ATGATAATGATTAGAGCTTCCATTTTACAGATGAAGAAACTGAGGCAAGGCACACTGAAGCAAGTAGTAGATGACCCAAGAGCTGAAGACAGACAATTTGGCTCTGGAGCTACTATGCTGTATTGTCACTAAGAAAATAGATGTTTTCCTTTCCTCTGTGGTATCCATCCCCAAAGCTCTCCCTTTAGAGACAAACTCTTGATTCCACTGAACAAATTAACTGGTGAGAGTCCAGGCTTCCTCTCTTTGCTGGGTTGGGCTGCCATAGGTATTGATCCTCAAAGGCAGTGTAAGTTAAAGACCAGAGAGTGGTTCCTGCACAGTTAGTTAGGGTAGATCTAATTATGTATGCATGTTGGAGATGGTGGGTCATGCTGGGGAGGAGAGGGACATTGGCTCAAGTTCTTTGAATAAGATATTGTGTATTTCTGGTATATTTCGATTCAAAAACTGATGGCAGGATGGTCCTCTCCCTTAACTGAACAGGTGAGACTCAGGTGCAAGAAGCATTACCAGGGTCATCAATGGACTGATATTTGCTACAGTGCCTATTTTTCTTTAAGATGAATTATTGTATTAGTTTTGTAGGGCTTCCATAATAACGTATCACAGGCTGGGTACCACAAGAGGAAAATATTTTCTGACAGTTCTGGAATCTGGAAGTCCTAGATCAAGATGTTGCCAGTGCTGGTTCCTTCAGGCCATGATGAAGGGACCTGTACCGGGCCTCCCTCCTCGGCTTGTAGATGGCTGTCTTAGTCCTGCATCTCCACATCATTTTCCCTTTGCAGGAGTCTGTGTCCAAATTTCTTTTCCTTATAAGGACGCCAGTTATATTGAATTTGGGCCAGTCTAATGACCTCGTTTTAATTTAATTACCTCTTTAAAGACTGCATCTCAAAGTAAGGTCACATTCTGAGGTAATGGGGATTAGAGCTTTAACATTCAGACTTTGTTGGGGACACAACTCAGCCCTTAACAACTGTATAACAGTGGATATACCTCCTCTTATAGAATTTCTATTACCCTGACATCCATTGGCTAAGTGGTAAGTGATGAATGAGTCATGAATTAATTCTGGTGCATTTTAGGGGAGTTGGGATTATCTTGTGAGTTGAGAAAAATATATAAATAATCAAAATGTAAAAGGCAATATCTATTACTGGTCTTGGGTTCCAACTAAGGGGTCTTTGAGGAGTTGTCTGAGAGCCTGTGGAGGTCATTCTCTTTGTCATTTTGTTAACTGTTGTTGTGGGATGCTTTGTTCAGGGAGGCTTCTGTTTGTTGGTCTTCCTTCCCATGTGCAACAGACTACCTGATTCTTCTCCTGGTCCACAGCAATGTTGGTTGTGCTCAGTGACAAATGCTTGGACTTGCTTTTACTAATATAAATGCCAAAAACCTCAATTTTGATATAAAGTTCCTGTGAACATCTGACTTCTCTCTTCACCGATGTCACAGATCTCACCACAGTGTAAGCCAATCGAAGGCACTTGCAGTCACTGTAGGAAAGATATGGTAGAGAAATTTATTCTGTCTGAACCAAAGTTTCTGTTTCTTGTGCTGTTGGAATGAATGACATTCCCAGTTTCCTCCCAGACAGTGGAATTTAGTGAATGAGGAACAGTTCTAGCCTTAATGCAACTCTGAAAGGTATCAGTCTCTCATGCTTCTTATTGCCCACCTTTGCTCCAGCAGCTTTTCTTTACTTGCTCAGTGCCCTTTGGCTTTTTGATGCCCAACAGTGGTTCCATATTTCTCAAATCCTTCTAGCCACCCCTTTCCCTAATAAGAGTACACTGCTTGAAACATTAAAGGTCTTCTAGGCTTACCCAGCCACTGTAATACAACACCCTTTAATTTCACCAGCTCCCCTGGAATGTCTGAAATGATGAGAAATCCACTGCCTTGGGAAACATGTCATCTCATTTTTGAAAAACACTTCAATTTTTTATAGCATCTTTTTTTTTTTTAAACTTGATGTTTATTCTGCTTAAATATCATACCTTGCTCCTAGTCTGCTCTCCATCAGTCATAGTCAATCAGTTGACTCCATCTCCCACTTGACCATGTTTGCACATGTGAGGACAGGTAGCATGCCTGGCCTGAGTCTTCATTACCCCAGGTTAGGCAGTACCATAGCTGACATCTGCCACCATGGTTTTAGATGCCATTCTCTGGCTCTTTTTATTTGGGCCTCAATTCTCTGAGATGGTCCTAATGGCTACTAATGGATTAACAATAAAAACATGCTGAGAGTCCTTTCCACCTTTCAGTGCTTAGATCAAATGTTACCTTCTCTGTGAAGCCTTCCTTGATCTTACTCAAATGCCAGACAATTAACAGCTTTGTTCTTAGTGTTCTCATACCACCTTGCACATTACTTTGCTGTAACACTTACCACAATGTGTCACAACTATTGATTGACATTTTCTCTGCTGCATTATGACCCTGTCTCTGATGAGGGACTATGTCTTGCTTGTTATAGTACCCTCTTCCTGGCTCAGAATAAGAGATTTATGTTTATTGGTTGCTTTTGCTGATTCAAGAAACCAAATTTCAAATTTCTGTTACCATGGTTGGTCAGAAAAGAAAATACCTTTGTTCTGGGAGATTTTTGATGATTCTCAGATCAGACCCTTTGATGAAAATCATGGATGTTTAAACTGAAGTGAGCTGGGCCAGGCTGAAGGACTTGTGGGGAATCAGCCTGGCCTATCACTGAGATGCTCCAGATGCTTCTGGATGCTCTAGCGCCAATCATGGCTTGCAACCCTGGTATCAAATTATACCCGGTGTCCCCAAACCTTTACTCCAGTTAATGAGGCTTGACATTAAAAAGCTGTCTTTTCCCCTCTCATTGAAAAGTAATTGATTATCAGGCTTGTTTATTTACTTTTCAAAGATGAGAGTTGGAGGCCAGTGTTATGAAGGAATGATTTCTTCCCAGCAAGATAAAGAACCAAAATGTATCCCCTCTCAATGAAAACACATTATCTAAAAGGGATTTTGGTCAGCTTGCTATATCATGTGCTTGTTTGCTGATGTTCCATAAACATTGTCCTGGATATCTTTTAGTTTCTGAATGCATTGGAGGCAGGCCTCAGACCTTCTTGAGATAACCCTCCTTCTCCAACCAATAAACACAGCCCTTTATCTTCTAGTCAACTTTATTATCTCCTTGCAACTGAAATATGTCCTTTTAGGCTGGGAAGGGCTCATTCTGTTCATTTTCTCAAGCCTCTTTTCTAAGGTAGTTCCTGTTCATCCACTTATCCCAGAGACTAGATGGAGATCTAAAACACTATTACCCATTCTTCAAGGACAAAAAGATCCAAACTTTGCTCTTGCCCTAATCTGTGACCAGTTTTATCAGCAACTGCCTTTTTATTCTATCATGTTTGACTGAGTTCATTATGTGAAAGATGGCCTGGTTGTTTACAACACCTCAAGACTTCCCAACAATCCAGCTACTGAGATGCTATTCCAAGGGGGAAAATTCTTCTTTAAGACCTGATATGATAGTCCATATCATAATCTAGCATGTTCGTTGAAGATAGCTTTGCATGATTGCTTCACATGGTATCACCATTTGGCATAGCTTGAAAGCAAATTCTCAGGAATAAATAAATGCAGAGATTTCCCATCTTAATGAGGTGAGAGGTTAATTGGGATGGTCATGGTGGATACCATGGAAGATCCCTTCTAGGTCTCTGGGCCATGCGGAAGGGGCTGCTGCTGCTCTCTTTGTGTTCTGAACGTCTAAGTGAGAAGTATGAGAAAAATTTCAGAGGAAGAAATACTAAAAACTAAATAAAGGTCACCTTGATGCTTGAAGTTGATTATTAAAAAGTAAAATTACTTTACAATAATTATTTGGAATTTAAACCTACTTATATTTTCAGTCTTGAAAATATGAATAGGTTTATGGACAGTATTATTCAGGAAAAATTGCTACACTGCATGGATAGCTAGCTATGCCAGGGGTCTTTTTCTAATTATACATGGTCATTGTCATAGAAACCCAAATGACCTACCTCAGAAATGAGGTACGGAATCACTGTTGGAGATAGACTCTGGACATGGATGTGGCCCAAGATGCAAGAGTGTACTTCTTACACTGTAAGCTTGTTAGACCTGATTCTGTGGAGGACTAGATATAAGCTCCTCCTTTTACACTAGTAAACAAGGCAAGAGAGGGTGAATGCAGCCCAGAGAATTCAAGACAAGTTTATTAAGATGTGTCTGAGCAAGTGGCTGTTGTGCAAGGAATGCTGCATCCGTAGGTGAAGGTGGGGTGGGGAGCAGCATCACTGGGCGGTTCGTGCAAATGCAGTTGTCAAGGCAAGGAGAGAGGCTGTTGCTTAGTATTGAAATCATGTATTCCAGATGTGGGCATTTGGTAGTCAATCTGCTCTGAAGTGACATGCTACTGAATCTTTAAAGGGCTTCAGCTGGGAAGAGCAAAATCTGATTGGGCAAATTGCTAAAATATTTAAAGTGCAGCCTGTTAAAGCTTTTACTGCGAAGAGAATCACGTCAGAAGTTGTAGTCAGAAAGAGCGAGTAATTGGCTTTCCATCCTCATGCCAGTCAGGCAGCATGAGACTCTATCCCTATTCCTTCCTCTTCATTGCCAATGCTAATAACAATGCTGTGCATGTGTGTGTGTGTGCTGGGAGGTTGCATAGCTGGTAAAATGAGAGGAGGAGAAAGAGTGAGCTATTCATAAAAAGGGAGATCAAATCCACAAATCAACATGAAGGCCATTTTAGAAAAAGGGGAATAGGAGAGAACGGCAGGATTATTACCTGAAAAAGGTCACCTGCACTTCCAGGTGGTGGTGGTTTGGGGCATTTGTCTTTGAGGCAGAAGAATGGCCTTCAGTGACGACCACTTCCCCTGCATCTTCCATCTTCTCCGAGATGTAATTCAGGGGGCACTTTTAATTTATAATTTATCACATTTTCCACTTAGGTTTTCCTGTTCTTTTCTCCCCAGGCATGACCCCTTGTTAATCCCCGGCAATGATCAGATTGACAACATGGACTCCAATGTGAAGAAGTATGACTCTACTGGGATGTTTCACTGGTGTGCACCCAAGGAAATAGAGAAAGTCATCCTGGTGAGTGACAGACCATGGAATCAATACCATCCATTGTGGTCCCAAACTACGTTTGCTAGGAATGTGGATTTCCTAACCAGATAGTGGGATAATACAGTCCCGGGTCCTAATTACTCTTGTTAAAATTCAGGGCACATATTGAAGTAACTAGAGCTCTCATCAGAACATGAACCAAGAGTAGAATTTTCCAGCTAATATTTATTGGTGCATCACCATAGGATCGCATACTGTGTGAAAAGCATCATGGGAGGCCATGTATACCTTAACTTCTGTGGATGTGGCTCTGGAGCTAGGGCCTGCCTGTGCCATTTAGTAGCTGCACAGCTTTGGGAAAGTCATTTGATCTTGCACTTTAGTTCTCTTATCTGTAAGAAAATGAGATGAGAATGACCCTAACTCATAAGGTTGTGGTGAAAATTTAAATCCAACTTAGGACTGAATAAAGTTACCTATTATCATAATTATTACTGTTAAATGTCATGAAGAACCCTGAACACTGCCTGTATTATTATGTGTTTATAACATTATCTTGTATTTGTCTAGATAATAGTTTTGCATGTTTGTGATCCTCCTTAGCACAGATGTGGACAGGCAAAGTGCTAACTATAACAATGGTGAACCATGGGTTATCTGGGAAGGCGGGAGCTCCAAGCCCTATTTCTTGGTTGGCTCATCGCTGTAGCAGCTGTGGGCTTCTCTAGTTTGTCTCAGAAATGTCAGCATAGATAACAATCCATTCTACTCTTTAGACTTGTCCTATTAACAGCTTTAGGTTTCAGTGTTTACATCACCCATCCCACAATTTATTGTCTTGCTAATTCGTGACAGTTATTAATCCATGAAAATGGATTAGTAATCAGAAAGGTCAGATGGAAGACTTCTTCTCCCTGGTGCCTCTAATCCCCAGATTGCTGTGGCCTGCTTCCTTATGTGAAAATCCGTTCATTTCTGATGTCGTGGTCCCTGTTCCTAAAAAAGAACTGTTCAGTTCCTCTAAGTGGCTTTGTCCTCCAACCCACTGGAATATTTCCTGTATTTTATCTGATTGGGTGTGTTATCTCCATTTAATTGTAATCAAGTATTACAAGCTAAAACAGCATTGTGTCAGAGACTGTCTTAGAGGTGTGAAGTTGTAGACAAAAGCACAGAAAGTCATAATTCTCAGGAAACAGCCGTTGTCCATCCTACCAGTAGTACAAATGGTTCTAATCACAAAAGTGCTTGTGTATTTACATCCTGGTGTTGCATCCACTGCATTTTTGCTCTGGTGATCTAAATTCAGCCTGGTGTTACTCACCTGTGGCAGGTTGAAGGCTGAGTGTCATATCTGGTATCTAGGGTTTTAATAAATAACAGACATCCAGTGAAAGTCCCCTACTGATATGGAAGAGTTTAGGGAGATGAGTTACTACTTTCTTCATCTGAAATAACATCATTTAACAAAACACTTATAACAATCTTTTATGTGCTAGGCATGGCTGTTGTTGATGCGGTAGAACCTCTGACAACTGTTCTCATAGAGTTTGTTTTCTAGTGGGGGCTAAGAGAAAATCTCCAGGTGGACAAATAAATACATACCATGACAGCTACTAATAAAGTGCTATGAAGAAAATAAAGCAGAGTCATGGGCTAGAAAGGCACAGGGAAATGCCATTTATTTATTTATTTATTTAATCCTCACCCAAGGATTAAATGAAGGGGGGGAGAGAGAGAGAGAGAGAGAGGAGAGGAGAGAAACATTGATGTAAGAGAGAAACATGGATCGGTATGTCCCCTGTATGTGTCCTAACTGTGGACCAAGCCAACAACCTAGGTATGTTCCCAGACCAGGAATTCAATCTGTGACCTTTAGGTACACAGAAGGATGCTCCAGCCAGTGGAGCCACACCACCCAGGGCCAGAGAGAAGTCATTTAGGCAATGTGGTCCAAGAGGCTTTCTGTAAAGTCACATTGGAGCAGAGATAAGAATGCTCAAAAGATGCTTTGTGGTGTGTGTCCTCTAACTGATTTGGAGCCAGACACTATCTATTTTAAGGGTTAGAAATTAGGAAAATGGCCTCAATCTTGAGGAGATGATCATCTAATTGAAGGGGAAACATACAATACAACTGTGGAACAATATATTTAAAGCTACATGTTAAGAGACACAAAGTGATAGTCAAATCTAGAGCAGAAGGCTGGCATGCATCTAAGTGGCCAGGAAGCCTTATTAGATACAAACAGTTGTACTCCAAAGAGATTGAGGCTATTAAGGCCCAGCTTGTGGTAGGCCTTGGAGCATGTGTAGTAGACACAGGACACACATGTGAATAGTTTCTCTAGTGGGTCTTAAACCTGGCAGAATCAGATTCTTTAGCACTGTGGTCTGGGAACTGAGGTCTTTACAAGGTTCTCTAGGTCATGTTGTGGTGGCTGATCTAAAGATTGATGTCTTGGTCCCCGTATCTGAGCTTCTGGGGCCAGCATCTGTGCCTCTGCCACTGCTAGCTGGTGCCCTCCCCACCTCCCTATTCTAGATTTCTTGTCCCTCCTCTGGACCCAGTTTGGATTCCTCAGGCTTATTGAAGGGATCTGGCTGCCAGGTGATCTGGTCAATTCAAAATAATTAGGAGCCCCATCATATCACATTACAGACTAGCTGACCCTCTGTTGGTGGTACCCAGGCACACACACTTTCATGCAGCCAAGATAACTCCAGGGCTACTCCATAAAGTGGTGATGGGGGCTGTGACTCCTCACTGGGTCCCCCCTAGTCTCAGTTTATAAAACATTCCTTACAGCCTGTGTCTTAGGTGTTCATGTGCTATTGCAGAGGGAAGCCAATAATGGTGACAGCCCTTGTTTTATTCTAATGCTCAGGGAGTGAAAGCCAGAATCTCCCTCTCCTTAGGGGTTACGGTAATAACCCTGACATTGCCGTGAATTGTAGTACTGGCATTTAAACAGTCAATACATGGGTCAATTCTAGGGATTAAATGGAGCAGAGTTTGATATGTGCAGTGGACATTAATATGCCTCCCCAAAAGCATTGTAAGCTAGCTGCACAGGGCAATCCAGGCATTCAGTGGGTGGACAAGAAGGAAAGAAAGCAAGAGGGGAGGTATTGGACCAGGAAAGGCAGAAAAAGGCCCACAGCTGGCCTTCCTGTATTGTTCTCGTCAACAACACAGTGAGCAAAACAACCAGCAATAGCTAACATTTGCATTTCCTAGGAAGCTGGTGTCTACCTCTAATGGGGGTGATTTAATCCCTTCATTTGTCTCATTAGTAGACACGGGCCTAGGGGTAGGGAAAGACATGGGCTGTTTTTGCTCTTGCTTATCTTGCTCTAGATTTTTTTCATGATGTTTTGGAAACCTTTCTTTGGTAACTTGTGCAGGTGAGCCACTCTAGGCATGCTCCTGGGGACCCCGAGGCAGCAGTGGACAAGGGTCAGCATACTTTCTGTAAAGAGTCATATAATAAGTTATTTAGATTTTGGGGGTATACTATTTCGGTCATGGCTAATCAATTCTGTCATTACAATGAAAAAGCAATCATAAGCAATACCTAAATGAATAAGATTGGCTGTGTTATAATGAAATTTTATTAGAATTTGAATTTCATGTAATTTTCAAATATTGTGAAATACTATTCTTTTGATTTTTTTCAACCATTATAAAATGTAGAGATCAATCTTAGTTCACCAGCCATGGCTATACAAACTATGACCTGAGGGCCACAGTTTGCCAATGCCTGGCTTAGGATATCATGGTCTACCTACTGATGCAATGACTTATCATCTCACAGATGAGTCTAGAAGTCAAATCCAAAATTCCTGAGCAGACACCAACATAGAATCTGATAAGTCTACCTTCATCTCAGCAAGAGAGGCAGAAAATGCAGCTCATTTTATCAATAATTTAGTGGAAACTAAGTCTTCCCTTTCCAAATAACATAAATATTGCTGTTCCCTCTGACTTTCCCCTGAAAATTAATAAGAAAGAAACCTGCTCATATGCATGTATGACACATCTTTTTAAAAATTTTTTTTATCAAAAAAGGTAGTGATATGTATGGTTATATGTTTCAATATATTTATTCACCAGTATAATACATGAGTATACACACATACTCAAATTATAACTATATAACATTGTTGAAATTAAAATAATAGCATATAATTGCACATAGTAAGCACTTAACAAATGTTTACTTGATCCTTCACGCTCATTGATTTTTTTAGTTCTTACCACAACCCTATGAGGTCTTCTCTCCAATGCTGATTCACTTCTCCCTGTTGCAGACGCGAAGTGAAGCCGCCATGACCGTCCTGAGTGGCCATGTAGTGGTCTGCATCTTTGGCGATGTCAGCTCAGCCCTGATTGGCCTCCGGAACCTGGTGATGCCACTCCGTGCTAGCAACTTTCATTACCACGAGCTCAAACACATCGTTTTTGTGGGCTCCATTGAGTACCTCAAGCGGGAATGGGAGACGCTTCATAACTTCCCCAAAGTGTCCATATTGCCTGTAAGTCCATGGTCATATTATTGATGGGTTTTTTTTTTCATCCTTTCATTCACAAAAGAAAATCCCAGATGGATGTAATAGTTGTGGCTTTGATCATACCTTTGCTTCTTTATCTGGTTTTGGGCCTGAGGACTCAGCCCTTCCTCTATGCTTTGTCTAGGAATGTCTAAACCCTGGGGACTTTATTAAAAGGAATATGCAGCTCCATTCAGTCACTCATCAGACATGAAGTTCAGTTGGTATCAAATGTATTAACCACATCAATGTCTGAACACTCTCTCTTGCCTACCCAGACTAAGCACTGTGGGATATTATGATGCTTAGAGTAGAATTTACTTATGGGGCTATTTATTTCATTTTATTTATGATAGTATTAATGCTTGGGGAAATCTTAATTGTACCACATTCTCTTTTGAACTAAGTACATTTAATGGAGTTCTTTGTTCACTTTTGTTGTACAGTAGGCCACCCCCTTCTGCTGGTCAGCCTCTGCCTCTCATTCATTTAGAAGCCCAGCAGTGTTTTCGTGGGTTTGTGGATGGACCTGCAATGTATGTGCCTGTGATATTATTCATTGGGTACTCTACAATGTAGTGTGAGGACATGGGATACATGATCTATGAGTCATATAACTAACTACGTCCTAATTATTAGTCAATATATTTGCCATAAATGTTCAAAAAATTATGTTGCACATTTCAACATTTGATATAATTCTTTATGCCACAAATCCATGCAAATATCACTTATTCTCCACACTTTTTCTTAGAAGTTCACATACCTAAGACTGAGGAACATGAAGTTGATGCTATATTTCTAGAAGGCTGAGTTTTTCCCCACTTATGGAGCTGAAATTCATTATTTCTATTATCAGCTTTCAGAACCTCAAAAATGGAAAAAATAGTGGAATAGTATAGTTCAATAAACAACACATAAGAATCTAGCTACAAGTAATATGCATTAGTAGCCACCATTTATCCTTACAATTTATCCTTACATATGCCTGGCATAATAGATATTCAATAAATAGATGTTTAAAAACTTGATAAAAATGCAGACAGACATTTTTTGGATGCTGGGTCCAAAACTCACTGACTTAGTAAACACATGAAATTAAAAATAGACCCCTGCAGAAAAACAAATAGTCATACACTCTGAAGAGTTTAAACAGATATACACCTTGCTACTTTCAGACATCATCTATTTGATTCTCTTTTTCCATGATTATCTTCCTACATGTGTTCTTGCATATAGTCCCCTGGGAGCACATGGACTGGGGTCTAAAAGTATTCTGTAAGGAGCTTTTTATTTTGCTGGGTTACATGAGTCCGTGTATAGGTGTGTGTATGTGTGATGTTTGGTGTGTGTGTGTCTGTTTCCTTCTGCATGCCCTTGTATACTTCCACTCACCTGCAGTTACATGAATGAGCTTTGGTATTTGCAGGTCCTTTTCAAACACTCCAAAATTTAGCATACTCAAGTACAACTTATTTGTACAAAATGGGCCTTCTCTGTCTTCACATATTTCATTGTTTGAACAGTGCCTCACAGATAGGTCCAGCCCCAAGAAACACAAGGTGTTTCTATGTATGTCATTTGTATTTCTTGAGTTTTGAAATCACATGGATACAACTGTGCAAAGATTGTCTTATATCACAATTACTGCTGGAGTCCCTACAAGATGAAAATTAAAAGAATATGGATGTAGGCAATTGAGGCTTATGCACTGTGCAATGATTCAGGAAGTTGATCAAACTTATTTTGTACCAAGAGATCCCAGGAAGAGAGGGGATTCTTCTCCTTCTTTTGAAAGATAATGCTTCAGAGTCTGGAACGAGTAGCTTCTCAGCCCCACAGTACTAAGTGCCTCTTCCTCCTTCATTCCACTTTGTGGCAATATTCTAGGGGCTGAGAAGAGAATCGTGACCACCACTGAGTCATAAAAGAGGGTTGATGGCCTCGACCTCTGCAACCTTCTCAGAGCCCCTTTTCCAGTAAGGAGAACCACAAAAAGGTATCCAGAGATATGAGGCAATTGGCAAATGCTCTCCCTACACAGTCAGTGAGGGGAAGGCTACTCGAGTCTCCATGCAGGCAAAGCAGGAGCTGGATTCAGACTGGAGAACCAAGGAGGCAGGAGGCTGGATGTGAACTCCAAGGGGATGTCCCCAGCAAGCTCAGCCATGGGATGGCCTGATGAGTTCTGCCATGACGCCTCCTGAGGACTCAGAGCATGTGGCGTTCATGCCCCTCACCTCAACACTGAGACCCTCACCCTTTACCTGTGGTTGCCTTCCTGGCCTGTCTGTCATGACCTTTCCCCACTATTTTGTTGTTTTAGGATTTTAAAAAATCTGTTTACTGGCTTATTTATTTTTATTTACACCAGTGATGTGCAAACACATTCTGGTTATAAAATATTCAAACAATCCAGAAGTATGTGAAATCAAAAACTAACTTTTACTTCACCCCCAATCTTATTTTCTTCTTCAGAGGTGATTACTGTTATGACTGTAGTGTGAATTTTTTCTGAACTTTCTCTGTGAGTGTACATACATTCATAAATATATAGTTTCATTTTAGAGATTCTTCCAAGGCAATGCTTGCACGGAGAGCTGTTTCAGTCCCTTTACCGGCTGCGTAGACTCCCTTTGTATATATGTCCCATGGTGTGTTTAAGCATTCCTATGTTGTTGGACAATTAGGCAATTTCCTTATTTTTTTCCTTACTGAAAATATGCAGTAAAATTATATGACCTGAAGCTTAATTCCTTTCCATCTCCCCTTTGCAGAATGCACATTAATTCCACTCCCTCCCACATCCTCCGAGTGGAGCGGTGTTTCAGCCCCACCTCATCATACCATGCTCACTGCTATTTCCACTTAGCTGCATTGGAAATTCTACTTGGAGCTGCTGTCTTTTTCTTGAGACAGAGGTGTCCTGATATTAAATAAACAGGCATTTGAAACCCACCCCCTCGTTACGTTCTGAAAGCCAGAGGTTGCCACAGGACAGTTACTTAAATCAAGACAATTTCCAGGCAGGAAGAAGATGTAGAACCCTGGCATTATTCCTCTCCCTCGTTTGTTAGTAATAGCTTGATGGAGTATTGAGAGCAAGCCTAAAATGCTGCCATCAGCACCGACTACCCTTTAGATTAGCACACGGCTCCTATTCCCTTGAATGTAGTTAGGCTAGCTTAATGTCAAGGCATAAAAAAGATACTTGTTAAATAATTTCCCAAAGCTCCAGCACAATCTTTAATTTGTTTTTATTTTTTTCCTCTTTCCTTCTTGTTCCTCAGTCTCACTTTTGCATCTCCTTTTTTTTTTTTTTTTTTTTTTTTTTGTCTTTCCTCCCTGCCGAAGGGTACGCCATTAAGTCGGGCTGATTTAAGGGCCGTCAACATCAACCTCTGTGACATGTGCGTTATCCTGTCAGCCAATCAGAATAATATTGATGATACTTCGCTGCAGGACAAGGAATGCATCTTGGCGTCACTCAACATCAAATCTATGCAGTTTGATGACAGCATTGGGGTCTTGCAGGCCAATTCCCAAGGTAAGGACAGCCTGTAATACTCTTCTCCTGTGCCTACAGGGGACAGGGGCTGGCAAGAGGGATATCCTTCACTCAGTAATTCAAAGGGGCCCGCATCAGCCTGCCTGGCAGTGGAACTCACGGTCACTGCGGTGACATTCGAGGGGGCATCTGCTGCCTCTTCTTGCCATCCCCGGATGCAGGCTCGAAGACCCACACTCAGAATAGGCTGTCTCCCCAGACAGTAAACCAGCCTTTCCATCACCACTCTCTCAGCCTTTTTCAAACAGTGGCGTGTGACCAGGGTCACCAACTAAATGTCAGAGCACTGAAAAGATGCTGGCTGAACAATTCCCAGTGTTGCTTCCCAAAATATACCCATATTGCCATTGACCTGTTCTAAACTTTGCTATTGTTTTAGCTGCATGGGTGTGTGAAGCTTTACGTTATTATACGGTGACCAAGGGATGGTGACCCCTGGAGACTGGGGAGTATATGGGCACTAAAAGTCATTTAGCAAGAGGGGGTGCTCATCAGCCCACCTTTTCTCTGCAGGAGGCATAGCAGTGCTAAATGACACATATCTCCCATCTCTGCTCTTTCCCAGTCTTCCCTGTTATTTTCTCCAGGATCTTGGGCAGATGGCTATACAAGTAAAGATGTCATCTAGGAGCCTCAGAGAAATAGCACAGAAAAAATCCCTGGACAAACGACCTAGCTAATCAGGGCCTTAGCAGGATTGGATGTGAGGCATTTCCCTCCCACCCCCCAAAACATCTCTGTGTAGTCTTGCCCTAACTCTAGGATTATTGTCATGTATGGTCTTCTGGATGGGTGGCATCATTCCAGGATCAAAGGAGAAGGAGCACAGCCCACAAGAACTATAGCTGCTGGGACATAAACACCATCGTATTGATGGGATAAAGCTTGGCTTCCTGCAGTCTAGACCTATGTGCTGTATTATCTTTTGTCAACTCAGCATCACCACCACTTCCTGCTAACATCGCCTTGACATTGTTGCAAAGCCAGGAACAACAGTCCCTAGAATCCTTTTCCTTGCATGGTTCTGGGCTGGATTCTTCCAGTGAGAGGGGCCTTGGGAGAGATCTGGAAAGTGGAAGAGAAAAGGAGGCAGCTGCAGTTAGACCCTAAGCAGATGTGAAGTTCAAAGCAGATCTCAGTGGAGCCTTCTAAGAACCAGTGGCTTTGGTGCTGGGGACTGAGAGAGGGGGTGTGTGCTTCTCTGGAGGTCTGAGATTCATAGCATCTTAGGGTGAAGCTCAGGAGAACTGTCCACTTGGTGTTGCAAGTGAAATCGCTAATAGAGGCCTATTGGTCTTGCTTCTACAGCCTTTCCAATGATTGTATCAACTTCTTCATACTTGGAATAGAATTGGCTTCTATTCTTAACATGACCCTGATGGATACAGCCAGTTTGGGATGGAGGCCCAGTTTTGACCTTTCCACTCCATCATACTCTGCCCCTCCTGCAAATCTAAGTCTTGGTGTGCACTTATTCATCTATACCCATGGGCAGAGAAACATGTCAAAGCTCTAAGGGACGACTCTTAGCTACCCAACTGCATCCTGGGAGGCAGGGACCAGAGGTGACAAAGGAGTGAGGAGACAGTAAGCTGGCCCTCTAGGAGGTGGAAGAGGCAAGCTAGAATTTAGTCCCTGCCTTTAAGTGCTTGTTCTTTAATGAGGGCCTTCCCATCCCAGCATGTGCATCACCAGGGACCTCGTTAGAAATGCAGAATCTCATGCCCACCCAGGCCTGCTGGGTCAGAAGCTGGATTCTGACAGGCCCCTCAGGTGACTCAGGTGCACTGCTTTAACGCACAATAAATCTTCATGCTAACAAAACCAGCTCCGGGGAACATGTTGGCCAGTCTGCTCAGACTCTCCTCTTCTCCTGGTGGGAACTGGCAAGGGGGGAGGAAAGAAGAGGAAGAGAAGTACTCCCAGGGGGTGGAGGGGGACTGAGCAAGAGGGGCAGGGAAACAGCCCCTTTCCCAGCATGCCTATTTCCACCCAATTCAAAATTTGTGGTTTTTGAGGTCCACGAATCAAAATCTTAATGTATAATTTAGTTATATAGTTAACCCTTGAACAGCAGAGGTGTGAACTTCATGGGTTCACTTATACATGAATACTTTAAATAACTACATGCAGTATTGTAAATGTATTTTCTCTTCCTTATGACTTTCTTAATAACATTTTCTTTTCTCTAGCTTACTTTATTGTAAGAATACACTATATAATACACATAATATGTATAATGTGTTAACTGACTATTTATGTTATGGGTAAGGCATCTAGTCAATGGCAGGCTATTAGTAGTTAAGCTTTGAGGGAGTCAAAAGTTACACGTGGCCTTGCCTGGGTAGTTCAGTTGGTTGGAGCTTCGTCCTGTGCACCCAAATAAAGGTTGTGGGTTTGGGTCCTAGTCAGGGCATGTACCTAGGTCATGGGTTCGATCCTCAGTCGGGGTGCATACAGAAAGCACCCAATTGATATTCCCTCTCACATTGATGTTTCTTTCTCTCTTTTCCTGCACCCCTCTAAAAATCATTAAACATATTCTTGGGTGAGGATTAAAAAAAATTATATGTGGATTTTCAATTGCATGGAAGGTCAGCATCCCTACCCCTGCATTGTTCAAGGTTCAACTACACGTGCATCTAACATAGGTGTTCCTTCCAGCTCTTGTAAAGCTTATCACAGTCTCTTAGATCCTCTCTGATGGCCAAACTGGTAAAAATGCTCCCCTTCTGCTTCTTAGATACCCACCCAAAGCTCAAAAGCCTTTTTTACTGTTTCTAGCACAGAAGTAAGTGAGAAAAATAGGTTTCGGTGGGAGATAAGGAAGATAGGGGAAGAGAGCTCATTTTTCCTGCAAAAAAAGAGAAAGACACACAGGGGCACAGAGAAAGCAGAGGATGTGCTTTGTGGTGATTTTCAAAGATTCCTGGTCGGCAGCAGAATGGAGTGTGTGTCCCCCGGTAACCAGCAGGCAGCCTGCTCTATTCTCAGTGAGAGGCTGTGGGAGCTGTAGGCCCACCAAACCCATATATCCCTCCTCTCCTTGCTGTGTCTGCTCTCTTGTCCATGGTTCCTAATACTCTTCTCTGATGGCACTGTGACCTTCCAAAAGACAGTGGCTTGGCAGTGACCATCAACATGGGAAACCACTTCATCCCTGATGGGCAAGCTCTGTAAGTTCACCTTTGGCTGCTCCCTGTACAACCCGCTCCTCGGGTTCATCCCAGCCTGTGGGCTGGGTAGATGAGCTGAATTTCCTTGACACTGTCCCTCCTTGAGACCCTTTTGACCAACTAGAGTGCTCACTGGACGCAGATACTTTTATTACCTTTTCCCTAGACATTTGATATGCTCCAATTGGATTAGAATTATAAAGTACAAAATGGACTTCATGTTACTTCAACTGATAACTACATAGATTTCTGGCCACTGCCCCCTCTAGTTGTCCTCACTCTTTACTCTGTAGTCCTTGTGAAACCCCATAGTTTACTTCATACTGAAAGTTACATTACCATCTCTCTAGCAGGACAGAAATGTGGACTTGGGACGGATGTATGTGCTCTTGAGCCAGCTTATTCATGCATCCTTATGGGAAGTTTTTCTATCATGATACAATATAACATGAAAAGTATGTCTTAACATGGCACATGTAGAGACCTCACTGGGATTTGTGTTCAGATGCTTGACAGTGTATGTTACTTGGTCTCCTAGACTAACAAAACTTACCCTCTTTTCTTTCACATTCCCTTTTGCTGTCACTATTCTAGCCCACATGGTGTCAGAACTGACCCAGCCTAAGGATTCTAGACCAGACACTTTCTAAAATGATCTGAGATGTGAAGGCTGGTTGTCAAAAACAATTACAGAGTGAAGTGGCGTACCCCATGCTGATGGTATATCCAATGTGACAGTTGGGTCTATGAGATGCAGTTTTAATATACAGCAGGCAGGACTGCAATGACAATTATATAAAGCAGGTGAAGCTGCTTCTTGCTGGTCAGCAAACATCAGCTGAGAACCACTTTACAGCTCTTTACTAGCAACTAAGTGCCTTTATTTACAGAGCTCCTGTCACTTCCCTTTGGCTGGAGAGCTGGTGTATTATTTAGCACACATTTATCTGGGGAAAACATTTCAATTTAAATCAGCTGGTACAACATTGGCTCTTGCCAGACTGTTTCCCTGTGGTTCTAAAACGTAGGAATTGAGTCTGATCTTGGAAGGGGGGGTGAGCCGAGGAGGAAGGGTCTGTTCTCAGAGAGCTGCTTGAGTCAGTAGCTGAAAAGAGGGAGCATGTGATTGAGTTTCCTATTATGCTCTCATATTGTTATAAAAGGAGCATCTTAGAGCTTCTTCCTGCTTAACTTTAATTCTTATGGGACAGAAAAAGGAATATGTGAGTGCCCACCATGTGTCAGGCACTATAAAGGCTCAGGACACAAAGATGACATAGATTCAACCACTCACTGTCTTGAGGGGCTCAGGTGAATGGAAGAGGCACCCCCATAAACAGGTATAATGCAGTGAGACAAGGACCAGGCTAGAAAAGAAGCTCAGAGAACTCTCTTGTTTTATATATTTCACAGAGTTGAGAAGCCTTCTGTGATGAGCTTACATGTTTTGAGTGAGTTGAATACATGTGGCTATTGAGCTCTTAAAATGTGGCTAGTTTTTTTAAATCAACTTAAATTTAAATTGTGGCATTAGGTTAGTGGCTACCCTATTGTACATTGCAAGTCTAGAGCATAGGCTTGCTGCTTTGCTAAGGGTCTGGATTTATAGGAAGATGATGATTAAATCCATCTTTTAAAAAGATAACAGGCAAAAATATGAGCATGGTTTAGAGATGGAAAGAGATGGTGACATGACCTACATAAGAAAACTGCTGCTATGAACTACAAGGGATGAGACGAAGGCCGACAGTACAGCCCTGGTGATATCAATAGGTAGGGCACGAGAGTGATTGAGGTGAAAAT